GTATACTTTTTGCATCATGCAACTCAGTTTACTATGAAATCTGAGAAAATTATTCTTGCAGAAACTCGCTTCGAAAAGAATGCTCTTATCTAATATAAACCTTCTCTATGCAACTATTTGGAGCATCAGAACAATCCCGATATGCATACTCAGAATACCAAGAATATATTCAATTCCTTTGAAAGCTTTAAAAAAGCTCTCAAAGAAACTTTTAGTAATTCTAATAAAGAATGCATTATAGCTCAGCAGCTCATGAACCTTAAGCAGACCAAATCAGCTTCTGCTTATACAGTTAGATTTAAACAGCTTTCAGCAAAACTTCTGTAAGAAGATAAGAATCTCATAGAATACTATTACAAGGGATTCAAGAATAATATTAAGAATAAGATCTCTAAGCAGAATTAGCTAGAGAACTTCGTAATATTCTCCAATCAAGCAATCTGCATCAATAATTATCTATATGAACAATGGATAGAAAAGTTTAAAAAGAAAGAAAGCTAGACTTGGAGATTTCCAGCTAATATAAGCAAGAAACTCCAATACAAAAATAGCAGTTAATAAAGCAGTACAGCCCAGAGCAGCACTACGCACGCTAGTTTCATGAAGCTCGATACAACTAACAAGCAGTATAGCAAGAGAAGCAGTATCACTTGCTATAACTGCAACAAGCAGGAATATATTACACGCAATTGCCATCAATCCCGGAAGAACAAGTAGCAACCAGTTCAGAAAGAATGCCAGATAAATATTGCTCAGCAACAGAAACCTAATCAACTAATCAAAAACATTCTCTTGGAGCAAGTATCAGACTCTATTGATTACAGAAGTCTCAGCTGAATATTCTGCTATAATAACAACTGCTTAATACATCTCTCGAATAAGGAAGGTTCAGAATGGTTTCCTCAGAAACCTAGACGCTGCAGGCAGATAGCAACAGCAGGGCAAGTGTATATGCTCAGCACAATTATGAGCAGTGATAACTCGAACTGCTCCGATGTTACTGAACATAGCATTCAAGCGTTGGAGAAAGGGCTTAGCAGTAATACCCTTTAATATTCTTTATCATCTATGCCAAGCACTATAACCAGAGATATGAATAAAGAATGATACCTTCTTAGCTATTGATATGAATATCTGAATAATACTGAAAATGCTTCTCAAGCAGCAGAAGAACCAAATCAGAACGAATAATCCAACGATTCACCAGAGTCTCCCATGAACAATAAACCCAAGAAGCCTACAGAAAGATTTCCCTTCAGCATTAGTTGGAACAAGAAAACAACATGAATGGAGTATCTCATCTATGGAATAAGGCTAGAGAAGCTCTTCACCTGCATCCCTCTGCAGAACATTGAGATACAATAAGACAAGAATCCTCGGATCAGCTCATTTCACAACCTATACTATAAACTAGTATAGATCTCCTGCATCTATTATAGCTGCAGAATGCATTTCTCAGAGAAGATATAATACAAATAGTTTCTTATCAGAGAATCAGAACAAATTCTTCAAGCTATTAAGAAACAGAAACTCTGCTTTAGAGAAGTTCTTAATAGATAGCACTATAATGCATATATCGGGCTACTAGACAACTGCTCTATACAATGCATAACCAAGAAAATAGAATGATAGCAGTACAAAACAATACTCTGCATAATTCATATTAATGATAAAGTTTGCAACTAGCATTAACAGAAGAAAGATCAGGAATAACGACGATATGAACAAAAACAAGCTAAGAAGCTCACTCAAGAAGCAGCGAAGCAAGCTCAGAGAGAAAACAAGCAGCTCTTAACAAACTCAAAAGAACAGAATTGCTTATAAAGGAACTGCAGATGATCAGACCAGAACAGTTCTTATATAAAGCTTTCAAAGCGAACTATATTTATATCAAGTTTAATATATACATTCAAGAATGCAGATACAGCGCATTATTGAATAGCAGCGCTTAGAGAAATTTCATATCCTCACATATCATTAATCAGGCATAACTACAATAGAAATGAAAGAGATGCTCATATACCCTCAGCATCATAAAAGAACAATCTGTTGCTTATAACTAAGAAGTAATCAATAAGAAGACTAATCATCTATCTATCTTGATTCAAGGATATATGATCAAGATTTCTTTTAATATCACGGATATAGCACAACATAAGCTGATTATGAAACTTTCATAGCTCAAGAAGCACAATCCTCGAATCAATTAGACTACTAGCCAGATCTTATAAGAACAAGCTGTACTCAGAGAGATAATCGCAATCAACAACGAAGGATCGAAGCTAGCAATTGAAGAATACTCAGGAAAAGAAGCTTCACACAACTTCATATATACTTTCAAGTCAGCAGAGCTGGCAGTTCAAGGAGAAGAACCTAGTAACAGGTGAACTCAAACAGTATCAGAGCGCCAACAGGTTAACAAAACAACAGAAGCAAGGCTCTCAGCAAGTCGATCCGCTCCAAAGCAACAAGGAAAAGCTTCAGAAAGTAAATTGTAGATCCACACAGAAAAAACCTCGAAACCAGGCCCTCGAGCGCTCAGTTCAGCCCGAAGCGAACGCTCAAAGCTCCCAAAAACGTTACCAGAAACGCCATCAGAAAAGAAGCACGCTCAACAGTACCTACTATTCCTCCAGATAGCAGAAACAGCACACGAACCAGAACCAACACTCGCAAGCATACCACGCGAATACTACAAGTTCAGGAAACTATTCCAGAAAGAATTGAATACAGAACTATCAGAACATAGCTCATATAACCACAAGATCCCACTACAAGAAGAAAAACAGCTCAAATTCTTCCCTATTTATAGGCTAGATGAAGCACAACTAAAGATACTCAGAAAGTATTTCAACAAGAATCTCAAAAAAGAATATATACAATTATTGCAATTACTAGCAGAATATTCCATCCTATTTGTATCCAAAAAGAATAGCAAGCTTAGACTATATATTGATTATAAGCAACTCAACGATATTACAATCAAGAACTGATATTTATTGCTACTCATCAAGAAATTACGAGATAGGCTGCAAGAAGTACAGTAGTTTATAATTCTAAATCTAAAAGAAGCTTATAATCTAATCAGAGTAAAGAAAGAAGAGAAATGGAAAACTGCCTTCAGAATACGCTACAAATACTACAAATATTTGATTATACTCTTCAGTTTAACAAACGTTCCAGCTTTATTCCAGGAAATAATCAATTACATTCTATACAAATACTTGGATTAGTTTATTATTGCATATTTCAACAATATTCTTATTTACTCTTGAATGCTGGAAGAATATAAGAAATATATGGAAATAGTGTTACAGATGCTTCAGAATGCGAAACTCCTTGTGAAATCTGCAAAGAGCTACTTTTACGAACAGAAAGTTAACTATCTCGAATTTACAATTAAGCTAGAATGCATCAAGCTACAAAAAGATAAGATAAAAGCTATTAGAAATTAGCTAATCTCCAAGAATATCAGAGATATTAGATCTTTTCTCGGATATGTTAACTTCTACAAGCAGTTTATTAAAAACTATAGCTGAATTATATATCTTCTTATGAGTTTTATCAAAAAGAATCAACTCTTTAAATAAACTCTCAAAGCACAAGAAGCCTTCAATAAGATTATTAAGCATATCATCTCAGAGCTAATTTTGTATAAAGCAAACCTTTATAAGCCTTTCAAAGTTGAAACCAATGCATTGGAATATATACTCAGAGAACAACTTAATTAATGAAATGATTAAGAATATCTAAAGATTATAAGCAACTTCTCAAAGAAATTAAACAGCTCAGAAGTTAATTATAGAATCCCTGATCAGAAACTCATAGCAATAGTCAAAGCTTTTGAGAAGTAGCAATACTATCTTATTAGCATATAGCATCCAATTATAGTTCACTCGAATTATAAGAATCTAACTATGTTCATAATAACCAAAGTCTTGAATAAGCGATAAGTTAGATAAACAAAATTCCTCTTACAATTCAACTTCAAAATTGTATACTGCAAAAGCTCAGAAAATGAACAAGCAAACGCTTTTAGCAAACAATTAAATCATCAAGATGCAGATTCCTCGAACATACAGAATATCTTCATCCAAGATGAATCAGGAAATCTCATCAATATATACAGAGAGCTGAATGCTGCTTTTAGAATCGGACTCTCGAAGAAGAATTCAGAATCGATAACTCCAAACGAATAAAACAACTATATTAAGGATGTATATAGTATGCTAGCATACAGATATCAGGAAATCAGAGCAATCTATGAATGCATTAAGAAATACTAGAATTCACCAGATCTTAGGAAAAGGATTGAGAACATCTTATAATAATGCAACAGCTACAAGAAGAATAAAGCAGAGAAATACAAGCCTTACAGACTACTGCACCCCTTATCAATACTTACAACTATTTAGCAATCCATTAGTCTAAACTTCATTACCAAGCTACTTCTCTTACAAGAACTCTTAACTAAGATGCAATACAATAGCATCCTAGTAGTGATTTACAAACTAAGCAAGTATGCTTATTTTCTTTCTTATAAGGAAAGCAGTACAGCAGAAGAACTCGCATATACGTTTCTCAGAACGATTATCGCTAACTACAGCATACCGGAAGAAGTAATCTCTAATAGAGATAGAAAGTTCAACTCAAAGTTTTGAACTTCGCTTATGAAACAGCTTAGAATATACTACAGAATATCTATAGCATTTCATCTGCAAACAGATAAATAGATAAAAAGAATGAATTAGATTATTAAACAGTATTTTCAATACTATATCAACTAGAAACAGAATAACTAGATTAATCTATTATCTCTTGCATAGTTCGCTTATAATAGCATAAATACAAGCATAACGAAGAAATCACCATTCTTTGCACTTTATAAATACAACTCAATAGCTTACTACGAAGTACTGCTAGAAGCAGATGCAGAAGCTGCAGATAAAAGGATTAAGAAGATTAAGAAAGTTCAAAAGAAACTCCGATTAGAATTATAATTCGTTCAAGAACGAATAATGCAGTATGCAAACTCCAAAAGGATTGAGAAACTAATCCTACAAAAGGAAGATAAAGCTTACCTACTTCAAAAAAACATCAAAACAACCAGATCCAGCAACAAACTCAACCACAAGAAGTTAGAACCATTCAAAATCTTATAACAGATTTTCCCAGTTAACTACGAATTAGCATTATCTCATAGAATGCGGATATACTCGGTTTTCCACATCTCATTACTGGAATCAGCAGCATAGGAAATATTAATAAATAATACAGCGGAAGTGGAAAATAACGAATCAGAGTATAAGATAGAAAAGATTCTCAAATACAGAGGCACAAATAATACAAGAGAATATCTCATTAAGTGGAAAAGTTATCCAGCAAGCGAAAATTCATGGGAATCACAGAAAAATATCAAAAACGCTTCAGGAAAAGTAGCTGAATATTGGAAAAAGAAGGAATCCAGCGCCTAGGATGATTGCTCCGCCCCGGACCGAGATTCAGAAGCTTCAGGAATCTCACTCTCCAGGAAGCCCGACCAATCCACCACAGAATTCCCCAAGTCCACGGAATTCCAGTCAAAACCCTCAAAGAAAGGATCTCCGGCTACAACAGCAGATTCCTCAGCCATCACAGCCCGCACCTCAGCAGCCACACGCACCCTCTCAGCCTCAGCCTTCTCAGCCTCAATACGATCCAACTCCTCCACATTGTTGATGCTGCAACAAACAGCGCATATCATCTTTTCAAATCACATTCTCTTCTGCTTGCACAGCTGAAGAACCTTCTCCTTGGCAGCCTGTAACTCATTCTCCAGCTCTTAATGCTGGGTAGCGATCTTGCGCAGCTCCGAAGAACTGATACTCTGAATGTCGCATTGGGAACGATTGAGCCGAACGCATTCAGCGTAATGAGAAGAATCGAGAGGAGAAACTTAACAGAAAGGAATACTCCGACTCTTACAAAAAGAATAAGAAGGCATGATAAAGGGATTTTGAAGAATAGCGGAAAGGAGACTTTTACATTCCTTAGTTTTTCGAGAACGAGGCTTGGAAGTACAAGATTTGTTGATTCTGTTCAACATCTCAATTAGGAAGGCAAGATCATGCATACGGAAGACTTGCCGGAATACTTACAAAAGATCGTTGAGAACAACAACTGATAGGAAGAAGATGATATTATAACCTATTCAACATGCAGATTACAAAACAGGTTACGAGTAACAAGAACCAGATATTAAGAACCCAACGTTCTGACTAAGCAATACAACTCAAGATTAGAATTACAACAGGGATGAATCATTGGATTATTAGATGATCCAGTGAGCCTGAATCATCTGGATCAGTAGTGAGCCAAGGTGAGCTATACTGAAGAGCTGGATATATAAGGAAATGTTCATTACCATTAGATAGATTCAGCAGATAGCTCTTCAGTTGTCAATCTAAGTATCAGATTACTCCCCCACTCTGATAGCCCCAAAGGCAGTGAACACTTGCATCGCTTATTAAGACTTGTACGGTTCCGTATTCAAGGACTTGACACTCCGACACCGCTCTTGTTAGCATAAACCCTTCGTGTACTTAGGAATCTTCGGATTGCTGCAGTGCTCATTACATGAAAGCTTTGAAAAAGCTTTTAAGAAAATCTTTCATAATTTTAATAAAGAATATATTATAGCTTAGCAGCTTATAAATCTCAAATAAACTAAGTTAGCTTCTGCTTATATAATCAGATTCAGGCAGCTTTTAGCAAGACTCTTATAGGAAGATAAGAATCTTATAAAGTATTATTATAAGGGATTTAAGGATAATATTAAGAATAAAATCTTTAAGCAGAATTAGCTAGAGAACTTTGCAATATTCTCCAACTAAGCAATCTGCATCAATAATTATCTATATGAATAATAAGTAGAGAAGTTTAAGAAAGAAGAAAGCTAGACTTAAAGATTTCTAGCTAATATAAGCAAGAAACTTTAAAACAAAAATAGCAGTTGATATAGCAGTATAGCTCAGAGTAGCACTATATACGCTAGTTTCATGAAACTCGATACAGCTAATAAGCAGTATAGCAAGAGAAACAGCGCTACTTGCTATAACTATAATAAATAGAGATATATAGCATGCAATTACTATTAATTTCGAAAGAATAAATAGCAATTAGTTTAGAAAGAATGTTAGATAAATATTGTTCAGCGATAGAAATTTAATCAACTGAGTAAAAACATTCTCTTGAAGCAAATATCGGATTCTATTGATTACGGAAGTCTTAGCTGGATATTCTACTGTTGTGGTGGCCAGGGTGGTAGTCCGTGGGACGTGGAGTACAGTGGGTTAAGGGTCCTCATACATATAAAGGACACCACCCACTTTTCAAATTCTTTAGCTATAAGCAACAATCAAGCAATCCTTTCTCTTCTTTTCAATTTTGAACCCTTTGGACAGGTCTAAGACAGGTTTTTCACCCTGTTCTTGTGCCCGTGTGGCCTTAGTTTGCTGTCCTTATCTGTACAGGCACGCTTGGGTTGCACGAGCCCTTGCCCATTGCTTCGGCAGCTGGTTGTCCCTTTTTTTCTTTCGAGGGCGACGGCGCCCTAGTTCTGGTTCACTACTATAATAATAACTGCTTAATACATTTCTCGAGTAAGGAAGATTCAGAATAGTTCTTCTAGAAATCTAGGCGCTACAAGCAGATAGTAACAGCAGAGCGAGGATATATGCTCAGTACAATCATAAGCAGCAATGATTCGGATTGCTTTAGCATTACTAGATAAAGCATTCAAGCATTAGAGAAAGGACTTAGCAATAATACTCTTCATTATTCCTCATTAGCTATACTAAGTATTATAACTAGGGATATGAATAAGGGATGGTATCTTCTTAGCTATTGATACAAATACCTGAACGATACCGGGAGCGCTTCTCAAGCAACAGAAGAATTCGGCTAAGACAGACAATTCAGTGATTCACTAGAGTTTCCTGTAAACAACAAACCCAACAAACTTAGAAGAAGATTTCCCTTTAGCATTGAATGAAATAAGGAAACAATATGAATTAAATATCTTATCTATAAGATAGAGCTAGAGAAGCTCTTTATCTGCATCCTCTTGCAGAACATTAAAGCATAATAAGACAAGGATTCTCAAATCAGCTTACTTTACAGCCTATACTACAAACTAGCATAAATCTCCTGCATCTATCATAGCTGCAGAATGCATTTCTCGGAGAAGATGCAATATAAATAGTTTCTTATCAGAGAATCAGAACAAATTCTTCAGGCTGTTGAGAAACAGGAATTCCGCTTTAGGGAAGTTCTTAATAAGCAGTATAATAATGCATATATCGAACTACTAAACAATTGCTTCAAGCAATATGTAGATAAGAAAATAGAATGATAGTAATGCAGAATAATGCTTTGTACAATTCATATTAATAACAAAGTTTGCAACTAGTATTAATAGAGAAAAAACTAGGAATAATAATGATATGATTAAAAGCAAGCTAAGAAGCTTACTTAAGAAGCAGCAAAGCAAGCTTAGAGGAAGAATAAGCAGCTTTCAATAATTTCAAAAGAATAGGATTGCTTGTAAAGAAACTATAGATAATCAGACTGAAACAGTTCCTATGTAGAGCTTTCAAAGCAGATTATGCTTACATCAAGCTCAATATATACATTCAAGGATACAAGTACAGCGCATTATTGAATAGCAGCGCTCAGGGAAACTTTATATTCCTATATATTATTAATCAAGCATAACTATAATGGAAATGAAAGAAGCAGCTATACATTCTTAGCATTATGAAAGAACAATCTGTTGTATACAACTAAGGAATAATTAATAAGAAGACTGATTATCTACTTATCTTAATCCAAGAATACATAATTAGAGTTTCTTTTAATATTACGGATATAGCATAGCATGGGCTGATTATAGAGCTTTTATAGCTTAAAGAGTACAATCCTTGAATCGATTGAACTATTGGCTAGATCTCATGAGAACAAGCTGTATTCAGAGAAATAGTTGCAATTAATGATGCAGGATCGAAGCTAGTTATTGAAGAATACTCGGGAAAAGAAGCTTCAAACGACTTCATATATACTTCCAAACCTGCAGGGCTGGCAGTTCAAGGAGACGAATCTAGTAACAGGCGAATTCAAATAGTGCTAGGGTGCTAACAGATTAGCAAAACAACGGAAGCGAAACCCTTAGCAGGTCGGTCCGCTCCGGAGCGACAAAGAGAAGCTTCAGAATGTGAATTGTGGATTCATACAGGAAAAACCTCGAAACCAGGCCCTCGAGCGCTCGGTCCGGCTCGGAGCGAACGCTTAAGGCTCTCAAAAGCGTTACCAGAAAAGAAGCACGCTTAACAGTATCTACTGTTTCTCCAGATAGCAGAAACAGCACATGAGCTAGAACCAACACTTGCAAGCATACTACGAGAATATTACAAGTTTAAAAAATTATTCCAGGAAGAACTGGATACAGAATTGCTAGAATACAGCTCATACAATCACAAGATCCTGCTACAAGAAGGAAAACAGCCCAAGTTCTTCCTCATCTATGAACTAGATAAGGCATAACTAAAGATGCTTAAGGAGTATCTTAATGAGAATCTCAAGAAGGGATATATATAATTATTGCAATTACTAGCAGGATATTCCATCTTGTTTATACTTAAGAAAAATAGCAAGCTTAAGCTATATATTGATTATAAATAACTTAATAATATTACAATCAAGAACTGATATTCGTTACTACTTATTAAGAAACTATAAGATAGATTGCAAGGAGTATAGTAATTTATAGCTCTAGACTTAAAAGGAGCTTACAATCTGATTAGAATGAAGAAAGAAGAAGAATGGAAAACTGCTTTCAGAATATACTATAGATACTATGAATATTTGATTATACTTTTCGGATTAATGAATGCTTTAGCTTCATTTCAAGAAATAATCAATTATATTCTATATGAATATCTGAATCAGTTCATCATTGCATATCTTAATAATATTCTTATTTATTCTTGAATACTGAAGAAGTATAAGGAATATATAGAAATAGTATTGCAAACGCTTTAGAATGCAAAACTCCTTGTAAAATCTGCAAAGAATTACTTTTATATACAAAAGATCGACTATTTCGAATTCATAATTGAATCAGAAT